GTATTTATCTTTACCAACATACATATGTATATAAGTGCAAATTATTTTTCTTTATAATTTTAATGACCGACTCAAAGTTAGTTTATCTACATATACATATGTAGATGCGACAGTAAACAAAAAAAAAAAAACAAAAAAACGGAGCCCTTAATATCAAACTAAAAAAAAAGACAAAAGATGGAGAAAGAGATATTTTTAATTCTATTGCTAGAGAGCATCATAATTACTGTTTTTCTATTTTAAGTATGTTTACATACATAAGCGCATATATACAGACATATTATACTTATGCATATTTTGCTTTTAAAAGTAGGTAGATATAAACAGAACTTAATAACATTTACTTAAGGCCCCCGTTTGACGATATTAATTACAATTTGCAACACGATTTACAAAACTAAATATGTAAAGAATAATATAATAAGGACGTATGTAGAATTAACCTAAAAAAAAAAAATTGAAACGTTTACATGAATATTGTATTACACTTGATGTGTACACATGTAATGTGGGTGCTTTCTGTTTTATGCAATCAAAAAAAAAGTGTTAAATTACAAATAACCAAAGCATTCGTTTATTAGACATGAAGATTATAATTACATAAGGTATTAAACGGGGTGTCAAAAAAAATCAAAGGATAAAAATGTTATTTTGAAATATCAAAACATCTTGAAGGCTGTTATACTTTGACTCCACAAACACTAAAGCACTATAATGGTGATTTTTTCTCTTATTTTTATTATGCATATATGCACTTTCTGTGTTTGTTTACGAATCCAAGTTATTTATGAAGGAATTTTAACATACTAGCGCCGTTTGTTTACTTTCTCATTCTATATACAATATTTTTCTTTGTTTGTTACATTGTTTTGTTGACCATTGAAAAGATTTTTCAATCAAAAGAGATTCAACTATATAGATTTCTTTAAATTTTAACGGTTATTGTTTTTCCAATATAATTTGTATTATTTTTGAAAATAAATCATTATTTTTAGTGAGTGAAGAACATCAGTATTTGATTTTGATACACCAACCCTCGTAACTTTCTCGCTAAATGACGAATTCAGTAAGTACTTAAGAAAAGTATACGTTATTATCATCTTAACAGCGTCTTCTTTACATTTAACACCCAAAAAACATTCGATGGAATTGACGTTCTTATCGAGACTATCGCAAATTGAATCCGATAACGGTACCATATAGATATCACATTACTCATATGCAGGAATTCAGAATGGAATTAAATAGAGATATTATATTTTTAAAAATAATTTTGCATAGGACTTCTCATCAAATACCGGTTGTGCTTAAAGATGTTCAAGAAACCGATTTTTTATGAGTATCGAGTTGAGAAATGCGGCTCAAACATTCTAACCGTTTATAAACCAAGTTCTTTTTTAGATTCAATTTTGCTTTCGAATATACATTGACGATATTTTAATTGCCAGCAACTTGTGCCGGGCATAAACAACACATTTAATCCGTTTTTAACAATAAAATTTATATAAAATATGTTTTTGGAGTCCGTACATAGGTTTCTGACAATTCAAAATTTACCAATCTGCCAGATTTGAAATTCGAATTAGTTTTTAACTCTAATTCTCTTAATACATTTTTTATTTCAAAAATTTATCTACTTGCATATTTTTGAAATTTGGTATATGTACCTATATATAGGACATATATATCTGGTATATTTTATGCCAATTATTATTTTGTTCTATTTGATATGGCGATTAAAACGCGAAATTCTAATTAATTAAATAATGAGAACGGGAACATAACGGAAATACAATTGTTTCCTTTTAATGTTTTTATGCTCATAATTTTATGTATATACAGAAATAGAAAATAATGTTTGCTCTAGAAACTCTAGAAAAATTTTCACTTTTAATTAGGCAAATATTATATATGTATGTACAACATAATTATACCACCTAGTTTTCTTTATTCCAACAATAATAAACGCAATGAATAAAAATTTTTTAATAAAAACAAAAAAAAAATAAGGAGAAATTAAACAAAAGTAAAATGAAAATTACTCAAGGATTTTTTTTTAAAATTAAAGGAAAGGAAAAGAAGAAAAACAGAAACGTTCCATTTCTCAATTAAAAATTTTTAACTGGTGGTAAGTGAAGCAAGTTCCTTTAACCGAATCTTATCTAGGCGGGAGTTTTTATTTTTTTTTATTCTTCTTTAATATTTTACGTAAAGTGAACATTTCCAATGAAATTATTTTATACTTACAATGTAATGTATGGCAACAACCGTGTGTAAATCTAAGGCATATGCTAAATCCGAAAATATTCTTTTATAAATACGTGATATTCCTAAAAATAGTTACAGACGTTTTCAAATGTGAAAATATGAAAGTTCAATAGACATAAATAACAACAACAATAATAAAAAACAAGAAAATGAAAACTGACTTAAAATCAAAATAAACCCAAAATAATTATAACGGAAAAGAAAATTAACTCAAAAAAAAAAAAAAACAAAGACTCAACTTAACTAACAGTAGTTTATTTTCATTAAAAAGAAAATGTTTGTTTACAAAACATTTTTTTCTATTCTTGTTATTATTGTAGTTATTGTTGCTTTTAAAATAAAAATCAGAACACTGAGAAAAAATTTTTTTTTAAAAAAATTTCAAATGAAATGTGTTAGTTCTGTACCAGTAGTCCAAACCATTATGCGACCATATCACCAAATAATTTACAATTAGAACAAATATAAAGGTATAATATAAAGGTATTCGTGTTTTAAATAAAATTTTTCTCTCAGTGTATTTGTTCATCTTAATTTGTAAAAATATAAAGAGGAAAATCTTCTATCAAATTTTTACCGATCACTTTGCGTATAATAAGGGAGGTTATTTGATCGCATCAAATTTTGTAAATATCGAGTTTTCGCTGAGAATACACTTTTCCATGGTAGGGGGGCGTAAATAAACTATTTTTAAATGAGAGGTTCAGTTCTATCGGCTGAACCGATTGTGACGAATTTTTTTTTATGTGAGTTTACTTTGGCTATGTCATGGATTAATCAACTTTTAGTTATATATCACGCATCGGGAACAGCATTTTTTGTGGGCCAATTTTACATTTTTTGGGCTTATAAAGTAAAATAATCAACCAATTCCTTTGAAATGCAATATTCAAATTTGGAGTGTTAAAATAAAGAATCAATAGGTTTTTGTTTTGGAAAAATTACGGCTCGGAAACCGAACTTGGCGTAGATATTTTATTATTTACCATATCTATAAAGCGGAACTCTCTTAAAAGTAAAAATTCACATATTTATATATATAGCATATCTAGGCTAACCGAAATCTTACTAGTATCCTTAAAATTGTAAAAAATTGTTTAAGAGGTATCTTTTATAACACTTTTGCTAAACTAGACAAATACATATTCAGGTCGGTTATGAGCGGATCACATCACATTTTTTTATAATTTTCACGTTTATTTAAATTTTTTTTTCTTATTTTTTTTTTAATACACATTTCATTTCGTAATTTTTTTATTTTTAGAACATCAATATTTTTTTAATCATGTTTCTCTTATTTTTAAAAAAATATGCGTGTAGAAGTTCAACAACCTGTTTGTTTATTTTTCTTATTTCTTTAAAGAACACAGAAAAAAAATAAAATTGAATATTTACTTACTTAATATAAAATTCTTTTTTTTTTTCTTAGTACAAATACGACAAGTACATCTTTAGACTTATTACAAGCACTATTATTATTATGGTAATTTAAAATAAAAAAAAAAACTTCATTTTGTAAAATTTTTAAATATTCCAGATATGCACGTGGGCAGAGTGCGTATTTGCTTTATGTAGGTATATAGGGATGCAAGAAAACATTCTTGTATTTTAAGTAAAATTTCTCAACAGAAATTCAGAAATTAATTGTTTAAAATTTATTATCAAATGTTAATTAGAGCAATTAATAAATAAATTCTTAAATAATAAATCGTTTTAATTGTTCATTTTTTATTTATTTAAAAATTAAAACTATAATAGAATATACGATATAATAGAATTATATCGTATTAAATTGTTAATTATTAATTGTTAAAGATTATTAATTATAATAAAATATTTATGAAATCAATTATATTATAAGAATTAAATCATTTTCAAAGCATTTGTGAAGTTGTTGAACATAAAATAAAATTATTTCGCAAAAATTAATTAAAGAAATTAACCGAACCTTTAACATACATAACAGTGAGGGGACGGGAAATCTCGTACATTTTAATACCCTAATAAAGTTTTGATTGTTAACCATTGAAACGGGAGCTAAACCAAGTTAAACGGGTGTTACTATACTCTTAACGTATTTAAAATTTTTCCTAAAAATGAGTATTTAAATATTACACCTAACTAACTTGGGTTATATAAACTTAAATATTACAGCTAAACTAAACTGGGACGATGATGCATCGTGACCTAAAATATCTATTGTGCCCCCCACCACGATCGCCCAGTGTACTGTCCAGAGCAAACCCTCGAAACCTATAAGTACAAGTTGCTTGAGATTTCCGTATTCTTCTACTATAACTAAAGTATTATACTTAACTAAAGTAGGTAACTAAAGTATTATACTCTTAGGGGGTGGACATTTAAATCAATTTTATTTGGCTATAGATTTTATATTTTAATGCCTAAAAATTTTTGATTTATCTCAGGATTTTCTCACTGACTCTCTGAAATTTATTCTGAATCCATTTATTTACCTACTGTTCTATTGTATTAACTTTGATATCACCGGTAAATTCTGTTTCCGTTACAACAAATTCCATAAGAGTGTGAATAACACAAACGTTAGGTGTTCATCTTCTTGTTTTATTTGAAAAATCTTGTTAACCCTGTTGAACATTCCGGCGCAATGTTAAAATTTCATAATTTGAACACTCCTTATAGTAAAATATTTTTATATTTAATTTATAAGTATTTCCATTATTAATTTATAATTTTTTTTTTTTATTTTTCAGGTATGTACCACATTTTTATAAAAAATGAATTCCACAAAAAAATACTAAGGTAATTTTTAAAATTAAGTTTTAAAATTTTGGTTTTCCCAATCATAAATTATCATAACTCTTTCTTATTAAATTCAAAAAAATAAAAAAATGACGAAGGTAGACAAAGTTTTGTTTTAGGTGTACACGTGTCAAGTAATTTTTAATAAAAAAAAAGTACATATACTTGGGTATACAGAAACAACATCAATAAGATGAAAATTTGAACAAAAGATTTTGTAAATTTAAAGAATATTTGTTTAACAAAATTCCCGTATATATTTTTTTTAATAATTATAATTAATAATTTATTTAAGTCTTAGAAACTTGAAGGTTAATAATAAAAGAAAAAAAAGCTAAGCCATTCCAAATTTATTCGAAATTTCTAAAATATTCTTCGTTTTACACTTCTCATACTTATATATGTATATATAAAATGCATTATGCCTTAAATTAAACACCATATGATCTCTCAATTTATGAGAGAATATATATATATATATATTTATGTATGTATGTATATATATGTATATGGGAATGAAAAATTTTATAATTGAAAACATTTGGTTTTTTTTTCTTCACTTGTAATCAATAGTGTCAACTATACACGTCTTATCAAAACAAAAATAAAACATAAAAATGACAATAGGTATGGAGTTGATCCTGTCAACTTTAAGATACACTCTGTAAAAATTAATGATATATCAAATAAGTTTATTTTATATCGCAAATCAATTCGCATTAAATTTGAAACCATGAACTAAAAATGTATGTGTTATTTTTTGATAAAAGTTCTTGCACTGACATTTAAGACAAATGAGAATTACGTATGTCATATATAAATTTTACTAAAATTACAATTTCATTTTTATATAGACCTGTTTGAAATTACAATATCATATATTGCTTGTAATAGTTTTAAAATAAATGCATATATATCCGAATTAATTCAAAGTTTTCGATAGCAGTTACTGAAATCAGATTCATGGGCCATTCGCGGCTTTGATCCATTTAAGTCAGCTGACGAAATAGTGCCACCAGAACTACAATGCGCTGCGGAGGTCATCCTTCCTTGGCTTAAGATCATCTATGAGTGCTGTATAGACTTAGCCTACATTCCAAAAACGTTAAATGTTGCTAGGGTTGTCTTCATTCCTAAGGCTGGAAAAAGTTTTCACAGCTGGCCAAAGGATCTTAGACATATCAGTTTTACGTCTTTTCTATTAAAAATATTGGAAAAGTTGATGGACGTATACATAAGGAGTAACCTTTACCCAAGGCTTATATCTCCGGCACAACATGCGTATCGTAAGGGAAGGTCAACGGAAACGGTCCTTCACTCTTTGATACAGTGCATTGAAAAATCCTTGGTATACAATAGCTGCTTTCCAGGATATTGAGGGCGCATTTAACAATATCGAGTTGCGGGCTATCACTCAGGCTCTGTCAGGGCTCTCGATTTATGGCTCTCTTATTGCTCTGATAGGCAACATGCTGTCAAGTAGAACCATCAGGAGTAGCTTTGGGGGATCATGCATTGAGCGCTCCGTTGGCAGGGGCACCCTGCAAGGAGGTGTGTTTTCTCCTCTTCCCTGGAACTTCGTAATTAATCAATTACTGGTATGCCTGGAGAGGGATGGCTACAAGGTGATAGCTTACGCTGATGACTTGACTGTCGCGGTGTCTGTAGAGCACCTTCATGCCATAAATGGGCTGATGCAGAGGGCCCTGGGCCTCGTTTCTGGCTGGGCTGTCGGCTGTGGGTTGACTATCAACCCACAAAAACGGAACTGATTATTTTGAGTAGGGGATATAAGATACCCTCGGTGACCTCATTCACGAGGAACTTTGGGACCTCGATTCCTCTTGGGTAAGCCTGGCTGAACGAGAGAGTTACTGACGACGGATCAGTCCATTTTTACACGGACGGATCCAAACTCGCAGGGTGGGTGGGGGAGTTTATTCTGAGCAATTAGATGTTTAGTTCTCCTTCCGTCTGCCGGATCACTGTAGTCTATTTCAGGCCGAGGTGGCCGCAATTGGGGATGCTTTGCACTGGCTGGGTTGCAATGTTGTATCGGCTAGTAGCATCAGTATTTTCACTAACAGTCAGACCGCAATAAGGGCACTGGGCCTGAGGTCACCACGTCTAGAACGTTCCGGGATTGCAGGTCGTCTCTCAAGCCGACTCTCAAGAGATGGCCGCGAAGTTCGAAATAAACTGGTCCTGGATACAGTGGGGTTCCGGGTAACTGCAAGGCGGACGAGCATGCGAGACATGGAACTACTCTGGAGATTCCACCTGAAAAGGAGAACTTGGGACCAACGTGTAACGCGACAAGGAATTTGTGTCCAAAGCTGGATTTACGTGATGAACAGTATATTGGTTTAATTTTATATGTTAATGTATTTTATAATATTTTCATGTAATACACGAATATGACATAATTATATTTTCAACTCTGATGATCTGATTTAATATAATAGACAAAGTGTTAAATTTATAATGCCCAAATTCAATATTATAGCTATTGTTATACAAATATCAAAATATTCAATCTATATGTATATGTATATTAAAAATTGAAAAATCGGCTTCTTTTATCAAATATTTAATACAATTTATTATTTATACATATTTAATATTTTTCAAAGGAAATGAAGAATAAATTAAAAATCAAAAAAATGAAAAAATGTAAAAAAAAAAAAATTTTTTTTTTTTTGTTTAATAGCTTCTCAGGGTTAATAAATGTGATTTTACTTACCCAATGTTATTCACATTAAAAAAAATAACAACAAAAAAAAAATTAAAAACCAAATAAATGAATTTCAATTATTTATTGCGAATTTAATCGAAAAATTTAATATCAATTGAAAATTATAAACAATTTTTTAATATGAATTCAATTATTCGATAAATGAGTGCTGCTTTTATTCAAATAAAAATGATTTCTGAGACAAAAAAAAAATCAATTTTTTTTTTTTAAATTCCTTTGAACTTTTTCATATTACAATTTTCATCGCAGCTACGTTTTTATTGTTGTTTGCATATCTCGATTGCATTAAATTCAGTTTTTTTTTTGTTTTACATCTTGAACAATTTGATGCTGTTGGAGGGCTGCTCTTGTTGCCATCGCATTTTTTTTTTTAATAACCAATTTTTATGAATAAATTCTTTATGGTATCAATTTCAATTTTAATCAATAATATAATGCAATATTTTAAATTAACATTCGATATACTGTTATTTTATTTACATATACACAATAAATATACTAAAGATTTAAAATTATAGTTTAATTAAATTGAAAGAAAAAAATATTTTTTTAAAATAATATGAGATTTTTTTTTTTTTTTCAAATTTAATTTATTTAAATTGTGCACACAGAGTTGCAATGCAAATAATAAATAATATAATGCCTGTTACAATGGTGTTAAAATGGGTACATTGTTTAAGAAGAAGAAGAAAAAAAAATACCAATTATTAAAAAGGAGCAAAAATTAAAGGTTAATTTTAAGGGTTAATTGAAGAACAAAATGCAATTATTCAAAAAACAAATCAATAAAAAGAAAGAATTAAAATTAAAATATGAATAAAAAATTTTAATATATTTTATATATTTAAAAAAAAAAATAATTTATTTTTGATTTTAAAAATCAAAGATCAACAATAAATGGTATTTTTTTTTGCAAAAAATTATTTGATTAAAATTCATATTTTAATGAAATTATTGAGAGCGCATAAAGAAACTATTGAAATAATAAAATTAAACTGACAAAAATAATTTGCATTAAAACATCATCAATACGATTATTGTGACCCGGATTCTCAGCACACGCATCTGAATTCAATCACTCTCAGAAGGGCTGCGCTATTCGAAAACATACATTCATTAGGCTAAGAAAACTCAACGATATACGTTTCATTTATAAATAGACCTAGTAATTAATTACACGCCTTTTTAATTGATTTGTCAATTGCTGTCCATTCAACTTCAAAATGCGGCCCATCATTATACTTGCAAAAAATAACTATATTCGATTGCGAATATTAAAATTTTTCAAAAAAAAAAAATTTTAAGAACACAATCATAGATATAATAGACATAGGTACATAAAATTCCATAGAAATTTATCATTTGCCGCAAAAAAAAAAACAATCAATAAAGTTAATTGAAAATGTCATTTCTTCTTGTAAGCAAGTAGTGTAAGCAACTTGAGTGGTCCATACCCATACTCACATAGTATAAATTTGCTTGTAACCAACAAAAGTTTGCCGATGGTTGCTTTAGAGTATTATTTTTTTTTTTTTGCTCTGTCTAAAAGTTGTAAGGTTGAACTTTTAGATGCAACTGTTCGTCGGGGAAATAAAAAATTACTCATTTTTGAGTAATTTTTTTTACGTTATTTTTTTTGAGTGATTTTTTAATAAACATTTTTTTAGAGATTTCCTCATTTATTGGTTGAAAATATTTTCATAAAAATTTTAAGTGAAATTTTTCGAGTTACTTTTTTGAGTTTTTTTTTGTAATTTTTTTCATTGTGTGTTTTCACTTGTGAGTGAAAGTTTTGAGTAATATTCTTGAGTGATTTTCAAATTAGAATTTTTAAAAAGCTTATACATTTAAGTAAAATATTTGAAAGGTTAATTTTGATTTTTATAAAACCACTCATTTTAGTAATTTTGAGTTCAATTTGGTTAAAAATTGATTTTGGTGTAATGTAAGAGGTTATGATACCGTCATAACATGTCACTGTTATTATTTATAATAATCGTTTCTTGTCCCTTAATTTAAATAAAATTTGAAAATGTTTTTTTTTTTAAAAAAATTTTGACCAGAACGAACAAATAATGAAATGAAATTTTAAATCTCTACTCTCCATTCTCTTTTCTAGAATTCTCTATTTTCTAGAATTTTGATTATCATATGAATGAATTGTAAGTTGTAATTGATATATTCGGAATATACATACAAAGAACCACTTGATTATGTTAAAATACTTGCAAATATACTAAGTAATACAGCATGTAGATATACATTACTCGTATATTCAAATTTA